GAAAAAAACCGCAGCCCCTTGTTTTCTTTGCAAGTGGCAAGTGGTAATGGTGGGACGAGTGGCGGAACTCACTCCATTTCTTGGTTACTTGTACAATTATAGACTAGGACGAGTTCGCCGGCCATTCTATTCTTCGGACGATACCACCCCCCCACCCTCCCCCCCCTCTCTCTCTTTCTCTCTCTCTATTCCCAGACAAAAAAATGAACAAACTACGAGGGAGGCGGAAACAGGTCCCTAGGAAGAGAGTATCACCCCCTGGACACAAAGCCCAAACCCAATTCGTTAAACGAAACAAACAGCAGTAGCATCTACGCTTCCCCTCTTCAGCAAACAGCAGAGGGTGTTTTCATCAAACAGCCGAGGGATTACGTTGCTCCTCATTCACTATTAATAGTCACCTGCGTCTCTCTTACAGTGCAATCAACCAACAGCACTGTTTCTTGTCCCTCTTCACTTGCGTCTCTCTCACAGCTGTGCAACAAACCAACAGCACCGTTTCTTGTCCCCCTTCACTTGCGTCTCTCTTACAGTGCAATCAACCAACAGCGCTGTTTCTTGTCCCCCTTCAACTGCATCTCTCTCACAGCTGTGCAATCAACCAACAGCACTATTCTTGACCCTCTTCATCTGCGTCTCTCTCACAGCTGTGCAATCAACCAACAGCACTGTTTCTTGACCCTCTTCACCTGCGTCTCTCTCAGAGTGAACGAGACAAGGGTAGTCGTCGTGAAGAAAAGGAAGAGGGTCGTGAACAGCACCCCGATCTTGAACACGAAGAACTTACCCACGTCCTGTTCAGCGTACGCCGGAGTCGCGACACGAAAGTAACAACAACACCAAACAGGGGACCTTAAGCCACACACAGCAAGGAGGGCCCGCAGTTCAGCATACCCAAAGTCTCGAGACGAAAGCAAAAAAAGAAAAGAAAAAGAGGTAGCCGTAAGCCACACGCAATACCCGCTGTTTCGGCGAAAGGTGTGCGTCGGACAACCTTGTGCAGCACGAGCATCTTGCATTCAAAACGCGAACAGTTTTTTTGCCACCTCTGTGGATTCGATGAACTCAGCCGCGTAGTTGAGGTTGAAGAGCTCGTTGTTGTGCACGCCGTACAGGAAGCCGCGCCCCCCGTAGAGCGAGATGAGCCAGTTCATCACCACCGTGTCGTAGCCGACAAAGTCCTTCACCAGCCCCTTTGGGGAACAAGCCAGCCAACGGAGGGCAGGGGGTGTTTGCGCGCGTGTGTATGTGTATGTGTATGTGTATGTGTGTTTTTTTTATTGTTAGCATCGACCGCGCTAACCGGCTGACCAATGAAAATACGTCAGTCTCAGTGCGGTTGGAAACAGAAGGTGTTTCTACAGGCCATGATCTGGGACCACGCGAGGGGGCGTCAAAGGGGAGGCTACGTTTGTGCGCGTGTGCTTCGGAGGGGAGGAGATTACGCATTTCCTCCCTTTGCTTGCCGTAGTCTTGCGGCTGCAGTTGCGAGGGGCTCCGGCGAGACAAACAAGGGCAACGGGGGGGGGGGGGGGGTTCCCCCAAAACTTCCACCGCTGCCTGGGAAACCGCAAAAACCAACTTTCCTCCTAAAGTCCCCCACAACCTTTAAAAAGGGGTGAGGGTTTTCCCCCCTTTTTTTGGTAAACGTAATGCTTAAAAAAAAAACCCCCCCTACATTCAGACGGGGCCTCCTAAAAAAAAACCCCCTTTTGGGGGGGGGGGCTTAAAATGGGTGGCAAAACCCCAAAAAAAAACCAAACAAACCCGGGGAGGCCGGGGGGCCCCCCTTTTCGGGGGAAAATTTGGTTCCTAACCAGGGTCCCCCCCAAGGGAAAAAAAATCCCAACGTTAGGGGACCCCCCGCAAACCCGGGGGGGGTTTTTACCCCAAAAAAAACCCTCCGGGAAAAAAAAACCCCCTTTTCAAAAAAAAAAAACCCCCATTTTTTTTCCCCCCCCCCCCCCCCCCCCCCTTGGCCAAAAAGGGGAAAAAAAAAAAAAAAAACCCAAATTTCTTTTGAGGGCCTGGCCCAACAAAAACAAAAACAAAAAACCCCAAAACCCCCCCCCAAAAAAAACCCCCCAAAAAAAAAAAAATTCCCTTGAAAAACCTTCCCCCCAAAAAAGGGGTGGGGAGCTTTGGGGGAACCTTTTGGCCTCACAATTCCCTTCTTTTCCTTTTAAGGGGGCCCCTCTAAAATAAGAAAAACCTCTTTCCTACGAAAAAACAGGAAAAACT